GAGAGAGAAAAGGAAAGAAAGAAGGAAAGAGAGAGAAAAGGAAAGAAAGAAGGAAAGAGAGAGAAAAGGAAAGAAAGAAGGAAAGAGAGAGAAAAAGAAGGAAAGAAAGAAGGAAAGAGAGAGAAAAAGAAGGAAAGAGAGAGAGAAAGAAGGAAAGAGAGAGAAAAAGAAGGAAAGAGAGAGAAAAGGAAGGAAAGAAAGAAAGAAATCCAAACATATAGATATACATATAGATTGTCTTGGTGTCTTAATTTGTGGATTTAAGTTAATAACCATGAAAAAAAAAGATTTTTATTTTATTCTTGTTTTCAACTCATACAAAGTTAGCATTAAAGGTTTCATCTATGATATTACAAGGATAGAAAATGGGAATCAAACTTACAACTTTTAAAACTTCAATTACAAATCCCTATTTTACGAGCATGAAAAACTAAAGTTCTACTCCACTAAAGCTGATAGACTCCCTATGAGAGTCCATCCATCCAAACAGCCATTCACGAACACACTCACACCTAAGGGTTTGTTATAGAGAAGCCAATTAACCTAACAGTCATGTTTTTGGGCTGTGAGAGGAAGCTGGAGTACCTGGAGAGAACCCACGCGTGCTCAGGGAGAACATGCAAACTCCATGCAGGAAAACCCTGGGCCAGGAATCGAACTCTAAACCTTCTTGCTGTAAGGCAGCAGTGCTACCCACCGCTCCACTGAGCAGCCAATGAGAGAATCAGGACAGCTTTGCCTCTAATAAAGTCCTTTTCAGTCTTTTTTTTAAACAGCATCAAACTATATTTTAAATGTAAATAATAGACTTTCTTTTATAAACCCGGATTTATTTCAACACATGAAGAAACCAGTGCAAATGATTTGATAGTTGGCAAAAGGAAAGTACCACCTACTGCTCTTTATCCAGCTTCAAACATCATACAAGGTTAAACGTTGTGTCTATCTGTGGCTCTATTATTGCATGTTTTTGCATTTTATTTTTGTTTAGTTATCTTTTAGTCTTTGAACCAAAAGGAAATAATTTATATTATTTAACAAAACTGGTTAAAGTTGAAGTGCTGTGTTGGAGCTTATGTTCACAAACATCCAGAGTGTGGAAAGACAGAGAGACGGTCTGAGTGTATTGATGAGTCAAATGCCTTGATGCCCACTTTAAAAAAACACTTCAGGTGTTTTAAACTTTAGATTTGGGATCAAACATCAAAGCTGTTCCAGTCAACTGGTTCTAGTCCTGAGTCACTGGGGTAAAGGTCACGAGTCTTCGAATTGGTCCTTACTAGTTGGTGGTTAGACACCTGAACATCTTTTTTAACCACCATTAAGTAAGACCATCAAATTTACCAGCAATCCAGGTTTTAACTCACTTGTAATGTCATAAAATCCTTTTTTGTACAGGCAACTTTCCAGGAGAGATGAATTTATTCATTAACTGCATCAGGGTACTGGACATTTGATGGACAGCTGGACAGACTGTCTTTACCCCAGGCTGTTCAGCGTCCCTGATAGTGTGCTTGAGGCTGCCTGTTTCGTAATATCATATAGCCATACAGTCTGATACAGTGAGGGCCCCACTGCAAACACACAGTTCAAAGATCTGGCATATATATGCCCAAAAAAACCTGTATTGCCCAACCTGTCATAGTCATCCGAAGGGTCTTCTGACTATACTCTTAATTTTATTACATTTTTAAAATTTGGCTTCATTTATAAATTACACAATAAACAAGTGAATGCCAGTCATATATTAAGACATACAGGAGAAAACAAATAGAGAAAAATAAATTAACATAATTTGTCAAGAACATATTTTGTTTTGGTTTTTAAGTTCCTTTATTGAGATGTATTATTTAGGGTCTGTTTGCACTCCTTCTTTGATCTAAGGGCATGTCACTGCTTCCTGAACAGCTGATTGGCCGCTGGGTGGAGCGTTTTCTACGATTCAGATCGCTACGGATGAATCCAGCTTGGTGGAACCGGAAATCCAGGGTTAAACCTGAAGTTGGACGGCTAACCCAGTAATCCTGCTTCGAGGTTCAGGCCTCTGGACTAAGGGCATTTGTAATGAATTGTAGATTGTTTTTAAATGCTTTTCAAAAAAACAAAACAAAATATTTGTCAACTGTTTTTTTTTAATAGAAAACTTGATTGTATTGAAAAGTCCATCACATAATATAAAACGTTAAACTTCATGTTTTGCAAAGCTTTAAAAAATATCAGTAGCTTGGTAAACAGAGTGCTGATGTAAACTGGACCAATTTCATCTTCAAACAGTAACAGATTTAGCAGTTGGCTACTTGAAATTAGCTGCTTGGCCCTACAGACTAGCCCTTACCATGATGCACCCCACCCATGCAAACTCTTTACCTCTTGTGGAGTTTTTGAGACAGGCATTTCTTGCAAAAAAAAAAAAAAAAAAGGTTCGAATTTATTTAACGTCCTCAGCCATAGAGATAGAGCTCTGACTGAGGCAACCTCAGTAAATACATTTATACTTTACAAAATCCCGACACACACACTCCCCCCAGGGGAACCAACCCACCCCCTGCATAAAGAACTTTCTCACACTTGAACATTTAGAGGAAAAACAACGTGAGTTCATCAAGCCATCAAGAACAGACATACCTCAACATGTTTTACTCCACACTTTCCAGATCACATTCTACTGGAATATTCTAACTTATAGCTTGTGTCGGCAGAAAGAAATGCATATTACACTATTCACAGTATTATAGGCAGATGGGTTGTTATAACTGGTCCAGTGAGTAGAGACGTCCGTCACTGCCTTAGAAACACATCCCTGTTGGAGAAAAGGTTAAAAAAATGTTAAATGAAAGAAAGGAAATGCCATACATTAAGCTCAAGCCTTTCTATCTTGTCTATACCCTAATGTCAGCTTTATTTAAATGTTTGATCAATTCATTGAAGGGAGTTTTAAGTTTCAGTGGTTGTTACCTTCAGCTTACCTTTACATTGTTTATTTAGTCAACGGCTGCAATGTTCTTGAGCTCAATCTCCCCATCAGGAGGTCGACCTTCGGGATCCGCAGGTTCCGGCTTCTCTATGCCAAACTTCTTCACCTTGGTGTCTCTGAGGATCAGTGAGACGAGGCGCTCATAGAACCACTGCAGGTCCTGAGGGTCCTCAGGCCAGGTGAGGTACTTTCTCTTCTGGACAAAAGTTCGGACTGCGTTGTACCTCATCAGCTGGTAGGGAGCAACCTTTGGGTTTGGCACAAGCAGATGGTCAGTCAGGTGGCAGCAATCCTACTCACAAGTCTCAACAGCAAATGGAAGTGAGGTTCAGTAAAATATATCTTTTAAATTAAATGATGTGCAACCACTGCTCGCTTGCTATAATAGCACTTATATACACAATAAGACCAATGTACAATGATTTAATGGTTGACTTATTGAAATAAGCTGTGACCAGTGACAACACCTACTAAGCAGTCTGACTAACAGCCTTCTGACTTGTTTTCAGTGCAACTTGAGTTGTTAGGAAACACAAGCAAGAAAGTACTAAACATAATACAAGATCCATGTAACTGTTAGTAATTATATATAGAAAAAAAAAGAAATCCATCCCAGTTGGTACTATATAAAAAGGCGCCTAACAATCTGCATCGATACCCAGCTTGCTTCTAATCAAATAGAAGGAGCATAATATCAGCACATGGGATGATCACCCTCCAGTGAGAGTTTGAGTGAAAATCAAGCTTTCTGCAAGCTGAACTCGTTCACCATACATCGCGACTAGACGAAGTCCCTGATTAGTTAATGCAGCACAAATTGTATGAAAACTTCAGATTTCAGAACTCCAGCAGAATTTCGCTCTGCTCTATCTGAAGTTTGCTCTAATCGCCCAACTTGCAGCGTTTGTGTTGCTCCACTAGTGTCCTTCCTACCGTTAGACAGAACATGCCTTTACATAAGGCAAACATGTAAATCAATAGCCACATTCATCGCTTAATTAGATTAGATTAGATTAGATGGGCTTTATTGATCTCACAGCGGAGAAATTCACTGGTCACATATTGGCATAGTAATTAAAGAAGAAAGTGCAAACGAGAAGGAAAAAGGTGCATTAAGGGGTGTTAAGAGACGTGGGTTGGGAGGAAGGATCTGTGATAATGCTTCTTATTGTACCAAGGGTCTAGTAGTCTTTCACTGAAGGAGCTCTCCAACAGCTTCATTAATTTTTCAATACAAACACTTCAAATAATTTTTCAACATTCTTCTAATTAAAGAAGACGCTCATGAATACTGTGATCTAGTAGGTCCTGTTAATCCAATTTAGCCAGTCCAGTGTCAACACTATATACACACCTTCCCTACCACCAACATAATCAGGACGTTGGTCAGTTCCTCCAGCATGCGTCCCTGGGCTAAAGTGAAGGCCTCCAAGCACCAGCCATCTGCAAAGAAGAATAAATGTCTATTTGTATAACCAGAAGCAGACTGCAGCAAAACAACAGCCGAAGTCTGGTAGCTAACATGCTAACCTCTAAAAGACAAGACTGCTGAAGGGCATCTTGTACATAACACGAATAAACAAAGCAATAAATCTATTGAGCTTTGTTGTAGATAAGAAATATACCTAACTTTC